GCTATAAGGAAGACTCAATTCTACTCACTGATCTTCACTTCACTTTTTCAAAAGTGTTAAAAACCAAGAGGATGGGTTAAGAACAAAATACAGATTTAGTTGCCACTAGGGCAGAACTTTAATTTCCTTAAAGTGACTTTAGGTATAATTTCCCGTTAACTTTTTCTAACTAGCAATCACCACCTGAACAGCTCACACAGTGGTACCTTGACTTATGAGTGTCCCAACTAAAAAGTTTATTTTTATTTTTTTATTTTTTTGGAGATACAAGCTGTCTTGCACATTTTTTTGCTTTGAGTTGAGAGCTAAAATTCGGGTTACCCCACTGCTAGTTGGCACAGGGAATACCACACTGAACTTGTGCCACAGCATTCACCTAGCATCCTGTCTCACTTGTTGGCTTTACGTGGTTAGCATCAGTGCTATCCTTGCGTTTGTGCCTGCAAATAATTATTTTTAGTTTAGCCTTTCTTCACCTCCATCAGCATCTTCAAGTCATCTGATCTCCAAGGTAAATGTTGTACATTATACTTAATTCAACCTTAATTCTTAGTTCTTTAAAATTCTATTGCATTTTATACAATATGTGTTATAAATAAGTATATATTTTTTCTATTTTATTTAAAATAGTTTAACAAAAGATTTTGCAGCGTTTTTAGGAGGTACTGAACACATTAATGGCATTTTAATTAATTTATAAAGGGAAAATTGGTTTGACATGTGAGTAATTTGAGTTAAACTTGTAAGTCAAAGCACCACTGTGTTTTTATTTTTTCCTGCATTGGTTAAAATTTGAGATTTTTTTAAATGTTGTTTTTTTTTTCTTAAAATAAAAGCAAAAGATGATCTTAAACTCACGTTGCAATTATACATTTTAAATCAAAACTCACTGTGTTATAATGTTAAGTTAGTGAAGTCTTGAAACAAATAAAAACAATGGTGGGGAATAAGCAAATCACCACGAAAGAACTCTAATTTTTTATATCTGCTGTAAATTCTGATAATCCCACGATTAGGAGAGAAATGTATGTTTGAGATTCGTTAATAAAAATCTCAAGCTGAGTTGTGGGGTTATATCCAATAACAAGGCACTATAAAAACATAAAGTGCTTATTGAAGATGAAATAAAAAATGGATCTTGGCCCTTTTTGAAGACCATTTCTCAATTTCTTTAGAATGAGCCCTTGTTAACAAAAACAATCCAATATGTGACTCACTGGTAGATTTGTTTTTGTTTGAATTGAATCTGTTTCTTGTAGGAGATTTAAGGGTACAATGGTCTTCTGCATTCAGTACTCATGATTGTTTGTTCAATACTCAACTCGGTTTAATTAAGTGTTGCGAAACTTGTGTTAAAAGGTGCCGAGGGAAAAAAAATAAATGAAGAAAGGCCACTCTAAAGTGGCCTTAAAGAAACAAGATGGAATGTAATGAAGCCATCACTTCTGCCGAGATGTTCCAGAGCAATTTCAGAGTCAAAATAAATGAAATGTACCATGCAACAGCTGCACAAAACTAGGAGAACTCGGGAACAAATGCCTCCACGATTATGCGAGTGTAACTGCTCGTCTCCCCGTGAAATCTCCGGGGTAATTCAATCGTTTCCTATTTCATCAGTTCAACACCAGTGCGAGCAATATTCCACCGGTACAGTTGAGATAAACGAGAGCTTTAAAAGTAATAAAATTGTGAAAGCAATTACTGAATCACAGTGAAGATGATTGAAGGAACAATGCAATGATGGGTTTCAAGGGACTTGATTTCTAGGGAAAATATATGTTGTGGGTGATTTTAAAGAGTAAACGTGCTATAGATTCTGTGACTGTGTAGCATTTTACATGAACATACTAATTAGTTTGGTTGTCTCCTTTTCTTTTGAAGAAGACATGTCCTCAAAATAATTCTAGTCGAATGAGTCCAGGGTGTGAACAAACTATAAATGATGGAGTCAATGAATGATCTGGTGACGCTTCAGTAAAAATTGAGAACTACTCGCCCCGTTCAGCATCATCAGGACACACAGATCTGGGATCAGTGAGTGGTAAAAAGCGAGGAGCAAGGTAACTGAAAACCAAAAGGGACTCCTGCTATAAGTACACATTTTACACACTTCAAATGGCTCTAAAAGCATTAATGTTTTAAATCCTCTCATCACGACAAATTGTTTTCTAGTGAAGGTAGACATATACAGCGGGTAAAATAGGTATTGAACATGTCAACATTTTTCTCAGTAACTATATTACTAGAGGTGCTAATGACATGACATTTTCACCAGATGTCGGTAACAACCCAAGTGATCCATACATACAAAGAAATCAAACCATAAATGTCCAGAAATGAAGTTATTTGTAATAATGTGGAATGGCACAGGGAAAAAGTATTGAACACATGAAGAAAGGGAGGTGTAAAAAAGGCATGGAAAGCCAAGACACCAGCTGAACTCTCTCAGTAATTAGAAAACAAGCCTGCCCCTTGTCAGTGCAAGTTAATATCAGCTGGTTCAGTCCCAAATGATGACCAGGTATCACACAAGAACCATCTGATGATGGGTAAAAGTAAAGAGCTCTCTCAAGACCTTCACAACCTTATTGTTGCAAAGCATAATGATGGCATCGGTTACAGAAGAATGTCTAAACTTCTGAAGGTTCCAGTGAGCACTGTTGGGGCCATAATTCAGAAGTGGAAAGAACATTATTTCACCATAAACCGACCACGACCAGGTGCTCCTCACAAGATTTCTGACAGAGGAGTGAAAAGAATTATCAGGAGAGTTGTCCAAGAGCCGAGGACCACTTGTGGAGAGCTTCAGAAAGACCTGAAATTAGCAGGTACGATTGTTTCAAAGAAAACAATAAGTAATGCACTGAACCACCATGGCCTGTATGCACGCTCACCACGCAAGACTCCACTGCTGAAGAAACAGCATGTTGAAGCTCGTTTAATGTTTGCTGCACAACATTTAGACAAGCCTGTGTAATACTGGGAGAATGTAGTCTGGTCAGATGAGACCAACATTGAACTGTTTGGATGCCAGAATACACATCATGTTTGGAGGTCAAATGGCACTGCACATCAGCCCAAAAACACCATACCAACAGTGAAGTTTGGAGGTGGGAACATCATGGTGTGGGGCTGTTTTTCAGCATATGGTACTGGCAAACTTCAAATAACCGAAGGAAGGATGAGTGGAAAAATGTACAGAGACATTCTTGATAAAAATCTGCTTCCATCTACCAGGATGATGAAGATGAAACGTGGCTGGACATTTCAGCAAGACAATGAGCCCAAACACAAAGCCAAGGAAACTCTCAGTTGGTTTCAGAGAAAGAAACTAAAGCTGCTGGAATGGCCCAGCCAATCACCTGACCTGAATCCAACAGAAAATCTATGGAAAGAACTAAAGATCAGAGTTCATAGAAGAGGTCCACGGAACCTTCAAGATTTGAAGACTGTTTGTGTGGAAGAATGGGCCAAAATCACACCTGAGCAATGCATGCCACTAGTTTCTCCATACAGGAGGCGTCTTGAAGCTGTCATTGACAACAAAGGCTTTTGTACAAAGTATTAGATAAATTTCAGTAAGCGTGTTCAATACTTTTTCCCTGTGCCATTCCACATTATTACAAATAACTTCATTTCTGGACATTTATGGTTTGATTTCTTTGTATGTATGGATCACTTGGGTTGTTACCGACATCTGGTGAAAATTTCATGTCATTAGCATCTCTAGTAACATATTTACTGAGAAAAATGGTGACGTGTTCAATACTTATTTTACCCGCTGTTTATCTAATGGAATTCCCCCTGGTATTGCACTTTCAAAACAGTATTTTCTCTACTTCACTCCTGAATTGTCTTGGTGTTAAAGACAATAACATTTTTCCCCCAGATCATATTTATCACTTCCAATTTAATGTGTGGCAGTAATCAGTATGCCAGTGACTCCCCTGCTGTCACAGCCCTGAAGAAGCAGGCTGCAACAATTTTTATGACGAGTGAAAACAAAACAAAGAAACATTATTCTCTTTTTAAAAGGATGGAGCTGTCACAAGTTAGCTTGAAGGGAAAGACCTGAATGTAATCCAGAGGGAGCAGAACACTGACTCATCTATTCTTCAAACTCAGGCACCTTCATTGGAACAATCTGACGAAGTTGGAACATAACTGCACTCTGATCTTTGTTTTCCTAGGGCCAGGTGCAAAGAGCTATCACTGAAGAAAAAAAAAACAGAAGCTACGTTCCACCATCAATCAGAAGGAAATGTTTGAAAGCGGATTTGTTTTTAAACAGAAAGGTTAAAGTACAGACTCAAATTTCAGATTTGCAGTTTCCTAAGAGAATGAGTTAGGAGTGGGTGCTACAGCTTTGCTCAGAGTTCTGAAAACAAAAAGTCTGAGACGTAAAATGATTCCAAAGAGCTGCGTTCATGGAAAGTGTTTCAGAGAATCTGTATACGCAAAATACACAATACTACAAAGTGATATATCAATTTCCTTTTTTTTTGTCTGAATGGATCTATAAACTATCAGTCATTTTCTGTGAGAAATTTGAATGTACTGGTTTTGAGAGCTTCAGATAAGACATATACATATATACTCCCCAGCCCAGGTTTCTGAACATATTACCTTAAAACCATATTTGGTGGTTTACTGCGTATGCAGTTACAAATGTGTATAGACATAAACACACACATACACTATGTCTCAGTCGCATATTTTCTCTCTCTACATCCCCACTAAGTGCTTTTTTTTTTTTCAATTCGTTTATTATTTTGCAGCTCCAGCTACCTTTTAACCTCCACTTTGGACACAGCTTTGTCAAAGGGCAAATTTCATCATTGCTTAAAAGAAAAAAAGAAAAAAAGCTCATAAAGTTAGGATAGAATGTGTGTCCAACATGGCCTTCAAACCTACTGAATCTTTAAATGTAGGGCCTCCAATGTAACCTCTCAGTAGTCTCAGGAGCAGAGGGTCGAGGAAAAATGTTTTTCCAATTACTCATTTCAGAAAGCAAACAGCATATAAAAGAATATATGAAATAAAAAAATGCAATTAAAAAATGGAAAACACAATGGAGGATGAATTTAAACATTCAGACTGTTTCCCTTTCTTTCACCTCGATATGTGGTTGTCCTCACCATGGTTAACTTGCAGAGTTCTCGGTTAGCCACACTTACATTTAATGACATAAAGTTGACCATAGCATTCCCTTTGGGTTTAGGTGAAGGGTGGTGAGGAAAAAGTCATCACAGCTTTGCCTCCAGCAGTTTTCCTGCTGGCTGCAGGTTCAGATGGAAGCTTTTCCTCTGAATATGGAACATAAACAAGAAACCACGTAAAGTTACAGAAAAGCATTTCACTTGTTAAGCTTTGAGGAAGTTGTCGCCTTCCCGTGGTTTCTCGTCTCGTTTCTCCCCGCAGGTAAGGGCGTCTGCCACTGTTGATAGTTCTTGAAGATTTTTTGGCAAATAAAATAATCTTTGTCTTGCCATCTGCTCGAGGAACTACAGACCCCTCTGTTGGCAGGCAGCGGAGGTTGTGGTGCATCCTTTTTTTAATTCCCTAACTGAATCAGGAAGTCAGACAGGGGAAAAAAAAGAGCAAGAGGGTAAAGAAAAACGTATTTGTAGAAAAGAGAAGAAAGTAGAAATAAAAAAATGCAACAAAAAAGATGGAGATTTTATAAAAAACATGAAGGAAACAGAAAACAGAAGACATCAGCATTAATTTAATATAATGAAAGTGCATTTTAGTTTCAAAACTATACAGTGAAGCCCCATTTTTTTGCGGGGGCTACGTTCTTAAGAGTGCTCGCAAATTGTAAATATTGGATGTGGTCCAAAAATGGTCTATAGTGTGTTTGAGTGGCATCATAATATGGTAAGAAACAAACAAAAATGCAACTGAGCTACACAGTTAGCTACATGCCAAACGGTACGTCAGAAGGCAGACATTTTGCACTCTGGGCAGAGCACAGGCACAGGGTATGCATCCTTTTTTTGTTTGTTTTTCACGGAACTGAATTTATATTAATGTTTGAGTTACAAAATTAGTAAATGCTATTCTTCATAACTAAGCCCAAAAAATCACAAAAAAGCATGAGAGAGAAAAAAATCCTTACACTACCGTATTTCCATTTTCCGCAATATTACAGGAATTACCGCAAGCTACAAGTAGATTCGTTTCATAAAAAAATCTGTGAAAGACTGAGTCTATAAACTGTAAAAATGCAAATTTGACGTGCTTCACTGTAAACTATATAGGATTGAATCATTTTAAAACTACAAACAGGAATCACATGAATGAAACAACCACTGACTCTTTCATGTTTAGAAAAAAATTGCAACAAAAATATTACAAAAGCTTCAATGTGTGAGTAATGGTTACCTCTGAAGGAAGCAGTTGCTATACAGCTGTGCACACTGTGCTAACGGTGAACTCTGACTCGTTGGCCATGATGTCCGTGGGTTGGATGTTACGGTCGTACATAGGGTTCTCGAACGTCGCACGTCCATTAGTGTTCTCGTGGCCCACGTAACCATTGAAGGGAACTTTGGGTCTTCTTCTAAAATGAAATGTTTCAATAATAATGAGTCATGAGCTGCATTTCTATAAGGAGAGGCTGATGGTCTTTATTCGCTATGCAGCAGATAAAGATGTCAGAATATGGATGTAGCTGTGGTGATTTATACAGTTATAAAATCCATTTAAATTGGCAACCCCCCTTTCCCTATCCCCCACTGTGAGCATAACAATTTTACTCTCTCATTATTACTTCAATCTGTCTCACTGTAATAAACTAGTTAGTTTTCCAGGCAGGGAGGAATACTCTCTCTCTACGTTGCAGATAAGGATTTTTTATTTTTATTTTTTTTCACACTGAGGTCAATATATGTCTTACTGGATTGAAAATATTAATGGGAAATATTTCTGAGAGTGAATAAAGATATGTCTTTCTCTCCCTGAAACAGCAAATGCAAATTAAACTGAAATGTGGACGCACATGATGTAGAAGTGTGTAAAGGATGCCTTACCTGTGTTTATAGAGATAGAGAGCGAAGCCTGCGATGATCATTGCTATAAAAGGCACTAGGATGGCAGCTGCCACTGAACTGCTGTTGGAGGCAAAGTTGTAGCCTGGATTTTCTCTGCCTGGATCTAAACTCTCTGGAGGAAAGATGGGACAAAACATGGACCCATTAACTTCATATTGCCTCAGTTTTACTTCAGAATTTACCTTTCAGCATTTCTACATAATCTCCAATATAAAATTCCATACTTTTTTCAAACCCAAATTTTCAAACCATCTGGTCAATTTCTTGGCCAATAACACAGATCACCTGCTGTCTTGCAGGAACTGTTGTACACAAAACACTCTGGGATCATGAGCAGTTGAATTTCATATTGGGAATGACTCAACCGCTCCACATTTTAGCTCAGTATATGTAAAAGTGACCCTTTAAACCCTTTTTGTGCTCACTAAAATACCCAGTATGGTCGATCAGTCCAGTGTTTCATGAAATGTTTTGCCTCAGTTACCTGATCACCCACCTTTCTGGCAGTGGACGCTAAGAAGTAACAGATCAAACAAAGATAAATGAGAAGCAACACTTGAAGCATAACTGGGAACTGGGTTTGTGATGTTAATCACTGTGGAGAAGTTGTATTTTTTTAAGCACGAGGTTTTGTACAGACTTTCAGGATAAAATACAAAGCATTGTTAGATTTAGGACTTAACCTTTGACTAAAAAGTTATGATAAATGTTCTGCACTTATTTAACATCATGTAAACTCTGTTTATTTTAGAAAGTGCTGTGCAATGTGCATAACATCTATCCTGATTCTACGGAAAGTTCCACAATTGAGTACAATTTAGAGTTTTTATCTTTAATTTATACACTGCACATTTGGAGAATATCTTTTAAATGTCACAATTTCTTCTTTCAAAAAAGGAAGAGTCTGAAAGAAACTAATTTGTCATACTACCAGCTTTTCATTTGATATGAAAAAAAAAACAAACAAACTAGAAAGTCAAGATCTAGAGTTTTTTATTATTGTGCAGGAACTCTGAATTTCTACAGATGCCAATAAACTCAACTCTTAGAATTAATGAATAAATCTGAACAATCTTTTTTCTTTGGTTATGCAACTGCCTAAACAACTGGTGTTACATTTAGGCAATTATATACAAAAACAATTATGCAAAATAATTTGCAGCAGTTGAAGAGGGTTAACACGAACAATCCATTTACACACAATAGACCAAGCTGATATTTTTCTTTTTCTTTTTTAAATTTATGACCATGTGTTAATTTAATTTCACCCTTGGGGAATGTCATATTCCATTATTCCAACAATGACTCTTAATTACTGGCTTCAAAGACCGGCAGCTATTAACTCATTTCAGATGTGTCATCTAATTTACAGAGTTGTGCATCTGCAGAAGCAACAGTGGAAGAGTGACAGCCCACCTGTTTGCCACAGAATGCCAAAAAGCTCCAATAAAGGACAAGTGACAAACAAGAAGGAATTCAATTAGGGGAGTTGTGTGGGGTTTGCCAATCTACCCCCTGCTGCACGAGCATCCACACACACAAACAGATGCACAAACACATTCACACAGGAAATCTGAATTTGCACTTACACCACCACTGAGTTAAAACAAAACATGACATGTTGACAAATTAAGTAGGATTATTTCCAAGATGTCAAACACACACACACACACACACACACACACACACACACACAC